GCCCTAGCCGGTTGAGCTATAGGCGCCGAGCCTTTTTTTTTTTTTTAATACAGTCTTACTCTGTCATCAAGCTAGAGTTACTATATCGTAGTTCACTACAGTCTCAAACTCCTGGGTTTAAGTATTCTGTCTCAACCTCTCAAGTAGCTGCATCTACAGGCAGGTACCATCATGCCCAGCTAATTTAATATTTATTTTTTTAATATTTAATATTTATTTCTGAGACAGAGTCTTACTCTGTTGTCCCCTGTAGAGTGCTTTGGCATCATAACTCACAGCAACCTCAGACTCTTGGGCTTGAGCTATCCTCTCAACTCAGCCTCCCAAGTAGCTAGGACTACAGGTATGTGCCACTATGCCTAGTTAGTTCTATTTTTAGTAGAGATGGGGTCTTGCCCTTGCTCAGGCTGATCTCCAGCTCCTGAGCTCAAGCAGTCCACCCGCCTCACCTCCCAGAGTATTAGGATTATAGGCATGAGCCACCACTCCCAACCTAATTTTTAAAAAAATTTTTTTGTAGATATGGGGATGCTCTTAATTCTTGTTCAGCTGACCTTGAACTCTGGCCTAAAGTCCTTCCTCCTCAGCCTCCCAAAGTGCAAGGCTTGCACCTAAATAAGCCACCATCCCTACCCTGTTTTAGCTTTTTCTTTGGGCATAGTCTTTGGAACACTTTGCCCAAAGGTGAACTTGTTTAGTTTAGATGAAATGTACCTGAAAGTCTTGGCATTTCTGAGATGTGACGTTGATTTGCTAAAGAGGGGGTGGTTTCTAATTGTAATTCACACTTGATATCAGAATGTTGTTTACCCTAGTTGGTACTGATTAGTTTATGTGATGTCAGTACAAAGGTGAAATCCAGAGGAGGTTGGAAGGTGTGGAGAATAGTGGAGTTTTCAAGTTTTACTGATAGTTTTTAAGAAGGGGAGAGAAAGGAGACTGTTCTGTTGAAGAGGAAAGTAATGGAATGTTCTTTCTTCTTGGGCTCTCTGATTAGGAGAGTAACCTGCTGCACTTGAATATGTTTTCCTGTGGTTCTGATGTAATTCTGAAATTCACAGGCAGTTGGTTTGGGCTATTTCATCAAACCACAGTCTTCATACTCACCCCAGGAAGAGCTGCAGGCCATGAAGCATATGCACTTATTTTGGGGATAAAAGCCTAATTATATTATGCTGTTATTTTAACCTACAGTGTACCTTTTGGGATCATTTTTAAAAGGGTTTTGAGATAACTTATGGAGGCTGAGAGCTCCTGGGCAGGCTTTGGCATATAGTTGGCTTCTTTTATTATAATGATTTTCAATTTTTCCTATCTTGTCAGTTTCCATTGCTCTACTTGATTCAGTCCTAAGTGGAAAATGGTAAATTATATATTTTTTTTCTCTTCTTTTTAGTCCTTGGTGGACATCTTGTCCCTGTCACAGTTGATACTACCAAATTGAAAGGGTTCTTCACTGCTTCAAATGGAGAGGGTGACAGAAGCTGAGCTGAGTTTCCTGGATCAGAGAATGGACTCTGTCAAAGCAAAGAATAGTTGCAGAGACATAAACTGGGACCTTGAAGCTGTGACTAACATTTTGGCAGCATGCATCTTTTTGCCAAATAACTTCTTTTCTTCTTGAGTGTGATGGTTGATCTCCTTCTCAAAGTAGGCTCTTGTTGCTACTGTTCTTCACACAACTCCCAAGCAGAAGTTGGCAGAGTTCCAGTTGACTGACTGTCTCTTGAGGAATATGCCCTGGATTAGAGTGGATGGGGTGTTCCTGTCAAAATGAGGTTCATTGGCAGATCCCTGAGAGCTGCTTTGCAAAGAAATAGAGGCAGTAGTCTTTACTGAATGTGCTTGCAGTCCTTTATCTTTCGTTTAAATTCAGATCTGTTTCTTATTCATCTGATGATTAAATGCAGAAATCATTGCCTTTGCCTAGCTTTGAAAAGTTCAGGGCATTGAGGAAAAGAAGACAGTATTT